GAGAGCACTCACTCTTAGGTTGGAGAGCACTCACTCTTAGGTTGGAGGCCATTGCCCTTAGGTTGGAGTGCATTGCTCTTAGGTTGGAGGCCATCGCTAGTAGGTTGGAGGCCATGGCTAGTAGGTTGGAGGCCATCGCTCTTAGGTTGGAGGCCATCGCTCTTAGGTTGGAGGCCATCGCTAGTAGGGTAATCAACATCCCGTCGATCCATTCCATGGGACAGATGCTACAAGTAAAGACTTGGCCTGCCTGACCGCCAAAGTTTTCTTTTTTCTAAACATATTTTCTTAAGCCACCAATTTACTCACCTGGATGTTCTCCCACTATGGCCTTGGTCACCTTGGTTTTCGTCCCCTTGCTACATTTCTTATGTATTTTTTGCATTTGTTTGTGATTTGTAGACCCACAAAATCCTTTAGACCTTTTAATATGTTTATTTTTTGAAGTTGTTTAGCTTTCTCGTTGCTTCCTCTCCTCTCAGGAGTTTCTCCGCCTTGGCGGACGTGGCCGATGCAGCGACTAAGACTGAACATCGAAAGGGGAAGAAGGTTGCACAGTCACACTATGATCCCTACAACCTGAACGTGCCTGTGGTGATCGTTACCAGCGAAGTTGCTCCTTACTCTAAGAAACTTGCCAGAAGTTGCTTGTGAAGTCAACAAGGTGAGCCCGAGAATAAAACATTTGTGCGTCAGTTAGTAAACGAAAAGAAGAATCAAAATGCCAGAAATGCTTTGTAACGATGGTTTGCAAGTTGGGGGTCTAGTCTGTTAGTGTCTCCTGTCCTTTGCGGACCACACCCACTAAACTCATGTAGAAATCACCCGACAGTGCACTTGATCTTGCCAAAATGCCAATTTGCTTCATATATGGGTCGTTTGAAGTTTGTTGAACTCTTTGGGGCTTTCCGCTTGCTTATCCATGGTGCATTGACATTCAACAGCTGCCTTGTGGCCTGTGGTGTTGCGTTCTGCCTGGTAAGGCGTCATGTTTATCCATTCACCACTGTCTTCTTGTTGTAAGGACACAGCCTTCAAATAAAATAGCCTGGTTAGATGGTACTCGACCTAATCGTCCCCCGACCACACCGCCCACGCCAGCTCATATGCGCTGCACCCGCAGCCGTAACGTATTCTGCAATCCACGCGCCGATCGCCCCCTCACACCTCCCCTCAGCCCGTGCCGCAAGGTGCTGACACATTCATAATTTTCTCGCGCCAAAGGTATCACAATGTCCAACACATATGCTACTAGGGGCTCCTGGCCTTACTAGTAGGAACAAGAAGCTACTAGGGGCTCCTGGCCTCGCTTCTAGGACCAAGGACGCTACTACGGGCGCCGCGTTCCATCCTCCCAACACGGTATTCTCCAATCCACGCGCCGATCGTCCTGGTCGTCTCCCCCGCGTGAGCTGCACGGCATCACAGCGCTTCCTCGTTCCCTCATTTGGAAACCAGAAGCCAAGCATCAGAGATGGCCTCCAACCTAATAACGATGGCCTCCAACCTAGTAGCTTCTTGTTACTAGTAGTAAGGAGCTACTAGTAGCTTTTTGCTTCTAGTAGAAATGCCCTTTGTTCCTAGTAGCTTTTGGGTAAAAGGACTTGTAAGGATCCTAAAGAGTTTATGTCCTCAAAACGCGAAAGGTTCGCCTGCCATGTTGGCGTTCGCCCCAGGACAGGCGGGCTTGGCATGGTTGCGGCGTCATATGGCTTTGAGTTTGCGAGGACGCACCGTGCTCGGCAGCTTTTTCCATTTTTTTCCCGGCAGAAAAAGCGCTGGAAGTAGTTTTGAAGAGCGCATTTGTAGGTCGGAGCTTGTAACTTGTATTAAAGACAATTTGTCAGAGACTAGGACCTGAGGACCGGGTAGGAGAATGGACAGCCATTGTGCCAGGAATGGTCATAGGACGATGGTGGTGGCACCAAAGTACAAGCACTATGATGGCATCAATTTCGTTGGCGAGACTCGTGTTCGCATGAAAGATCAGGAGGCAGTGCGACACACATCAAAGCACCTAGTAACAAGGGCATCGCTACTGGTAGCAAGAAGCTACTAATAACAAGGGCACTACTACTAGTAGCAAGAAGCTACTAGTACCAAAGAAGTACACAAATGATTTGTTTCCATATCATTCGCAGACCATCGCACCCCTTTTTCTCAAACTCATCGCCAGGAAAATGTAAAGTATTGGCATCTACGAAAAGACTACGGGGAGGCCTTTGCAAGCAGGAGAAAGGCATCGCTAGTAGGTTGGAGGCCATCGCTCTTAGGTTGGAGGCAATTGCTATTAGGTTTGAAAGGATCTTCCAGGTTGCTTCGCTCTGGTGTTTTCTCCAGGGGAAAGGCACCGACTTTCTCTTCATTGAGGGACAGGGAATTCAAAGAGATGGCGGCCTGTACAACGATGATGATGGGCGGGAATATCCGGACTGAAAAGAAGAATTGATAAATCATAACTCAAAACCATGCACGAGAGAACATACAGACCACGGCCCAAGCACTAGCTCTTCAAAAACCATGCTTGCTGAAATTATATACATCTCCGTCTTTTCTCGCATTTTCAGCTTTGATTTCCTCGCTTGTTGGCCGTGTCTGCAATGTTTCTGTGCTTGTGCAGGATAATTTGGAGCGCTTTACTATGCTATGCTTGGCGGCAATGGAGGCCCAAACAAAAGGTCTCAAAGAGAGACTGGAAGAAAGAGACTCGAGCTTTCTCAGGGTTAGCTCGAGTCACTTTTGACAGGCCCCTTTGATCCTTGACATCAACGGCCAAGGAAAGTATGGAGACAAGGTTTCAAGCTGAGAGCAAAAGCTTGTGACCTGCGTAAAGCTGGTGCCGAAAGGCACACCTTTGGCAACATGATTTTGTGGTGAAACGGTGTGGCGCAGAACTGGTGAATCTTTAGACTCTAGACGTTCACTCTGCGGCGATCTAATGACAAACATGGACATTCAGAGAGTCTGAAACAGCTTCAGCATGAGCGCTTGGTTTTAGGACGCTACGAACGGGGCTCCTGGCCTTACTACTAGGAGCGATCGGACGCTACTAGCAACAAAGTGCATCGCTACTAGTAACAAGTGCCTTACTAGTAGTAACAAGAAGCTACTAGTAACAAGTGCATCGCTTCTAGTAACAAGTGCCTTACTAGTAGTAACAAAAAGCTATTAGAAACAAAGGGCATCGCTATTAGTAGCGCTGGTTTAAAGTCGAACGGTTTGCTAAGGAGCACCCCGCCCCTGTCGATCCCCAAGACAATGAGAGAGCATAGTCTCTCCATTTCGGAGCATTTCGGGCAACTCAACCAAATTCGATGCATTCTTTTGGAACGTACTTGCATCATCACTAGCAGATTGAAGGCCATCTCTAGTAGTACTTGCTGTGTGAGCACTAGGTGCAAATAGTTGTGGAAGGCTGTGGTCCGTATTCAGTCAGTTAGAAGTATTGTGGGAGGCAAGAAGCTACTAGGAACAAGAAGCTACTAGGGCCTAGGGGCTCCTGGCCGTACTACTAGGGGCTCCTGGACGCTACGAACGGAGCAAAGGCGAGAGGTTCCGGGTGCAATCCGCTCAGGGTTGTGTGCAAGGGCTGCCACCACGTGGCTGCATGGGTCCACGAATCACTGTCACCGCCCCGCAAATCATGGCGAACTCATGATTCGACCAGCTTCTTGTTACTACTAGTAAGGCACTTGTTTCTACTAGCTTCTTGTTACTAGCTAAAGGATTGTGTATTGGACAGAATGGAAAGAGGAACTTCCAGATGCAGCGTTGGCACCTGACGACAAAACAAATTTTCCATGGAGGCCATCGCTAGTAGGTTGGAGGCCATTGCTAGTAGGGTGGAGGTTGGAGGCTCCGTGCTTTGAAGAAGTGCGCTGCTGCAGTGTGCTCCGAAGAAGTCTCTCCGAGTCTCTCCCATGTCCTACATGCAACGAGTATGGTTGAGACCAGTGTTTGCTTTGTACATCGCTCTTTAAGGGAATTTCAATTGTGGTGTAAATGTGCTCTCTTTAATAGCTTTTTGTTACTACTAGTAAGGCACCTGTTACTACTAGCTTCTTGTTACTATTCAACTCGTTCGTCTTTTCTTCTCACCCCATTTTCACGGCTTCTTTGAGCTTTTTCCTGAGATCCTGGAAGCAGGTGTTCTTACTTCTCTTCGAGACAAGCTCTGGTAGCATCTCTTCACCCGGAACTGTGGAACCTTGAAGCGCTGATATCCTATCTAATAGCAATGGCCTCATTTGGAACCATCGGGAACCATCTGGAGCCGCAACCAAAGGTTCTCGCTTTTAACTCCAAGGGTTTGTAAGGGGTTGAGGCTATATTCAGTCGATGCAAACCTCCGAGTGAAGTGAATTCCGTCTTCCCAAAAAATCGCTCTTGGGTTCGAGGTCATTGCTATTAGGTTGGAGGCCAGAAAGACAACGGCACAAAAATCTAGGAACCCTTCGCCCGTACTAGTAGCTTCCAAGGTCTCCTACTTACCTCACTACTAGCTGCTTGTCAGCTACCTCTTACAGCCTACCTCCCCTCTCCCCTTAAAAAACGATGTAACTTACCGTTCATACGCGAGTGTCTTGTAGCTACAAGAGTGTCCACTCGGTCCCATTTTGCACTCGGGTCCGGTCCCTTGCACTGCTGGTGGAGCCGTTTTGCATTCGTCTGGGCTGTCGGCGGATCAACTGCAGTACGCCTCATGAATTTTCTTGTCAATCTAGGGGTCTAGGCACGTGTGATTCATCGTTTGGCCTCTTTGCAGGTTTGTGTGAACACCCAGGCATGTTACACTGTTACATGACACGCACTTCATGCAATGCTTTCATGATTCAGTTCAGCTTCCAAAACCCTGCCATCACAGCTTTGTTATTTGGAATTATTTTCACTCTTTCTCATTTTAACTGTGCGTGAAGAACGCTCAGTGGGAAGCCAACGGCGCAATTGATCTTGGCATGGGTTTCTGAATTTCTTTGCCATGTGTTTTTGCAAGGTTATTTTCCTAGCAAATGACTGGCAAGCCGGGCTAGCGCTCTCCTGAATGGATTTCAATCTGCGGCTGCACAAACAAGTTGGCAAGGTGGATTGACATTTGCTTGGGCTAAGGTCCCTGTTTACATGTGCTACAAATACAGAAGGCACAACTGCTACTCTCAGGTGCGCTGTTCATTGCAACCTGTGCAGGTTTTGCAAACCTGACAAGCTGGCTCAGTTTTTGCTTGTGAGGCAAGAGTGATCTATGTGATTCACAACTTGGGATACCAGGGCCAGCTGTGGGCCCAGTTGGTGTTTGGAGTGGAACGGGCTGGTGGTTGTTTTAAAGGTTCGATATTTGTTTTATGTGTTTGTTTGCTTGTTTGTTTTATTTGTCTTGCTTGTTTGTTTAAGATTTGTTCAGTTTTCGCAAGCGATAGAAGTCCTGAGATCTGAGGTATCACGGCCGTGAAGCTTGCAGATTCTTTGGCATCGATGATAAGGCAAGAGAATTTCAGAGAGAGTGAGAGAGAGTGAGAGAACAAGAGAGAACGAGAGAGAAGAGCAGAGAAGATCACAGAGATTTCCGCGACCGATTTGCACACAACTAGGCAGCCGGAGACCTTGTGCTTGGGAACTGCATCAACCTCTCCAAAGGAGCCTTGATTTGTGGGGCTCCCAAATTGTGCGTGTTGGTTTCTGTGTTCACTTCCTGCGTGCTTGGTCCGAAGCCTCTTTCAGCAAGGTGCAGACCGGGTACTCACTGTCTCTCCGAACTACTCGAAGGAAATCCAGACTGCTTCTGGTGGGTTTAACTTGCAGGAGCCTTGGTTGAACGTGTCGGTTCTGGCTGGGTTTGGTCAATGTTCGTGCCATCAAAGGTAGCATCAGCTACTTATTTTTGTGCTCTCGTTAAAGCAAACGTGTATAGGTGGGGAGCCAGTCAGGGTTTGTGGCCCATGCCATCCAAGCTCTCATGGCTCCTGAAAAAACATTTTGCGCCAGTTGCTGCATAGTTTCTCCACCATTGCCTTTAGGCCCTAAGCAGCCAGCCCTCGGACCCTTTGTTTGCATACAGAGGTTGTGGGTTCTCACAGCCTGAGTTTTGGAGCGGTAAGTCAACGTGGGTTGCACAAAGCAGCATCAAAGCAACAAGAAGCTACTAGTAACAAAGGGCATCGCCCGGCATCGCTACTAGTAGCAAGGACGCTACTAGTAGCTCCTGGCCGTACTACTAGTAACAAGGACGCTACTAGTAGCTCCTGGCCGTACTACTAGTAACAAGGACGCTACTAGCAACAAAGGTTAGACCTAGACCTTGGTAGCTCCTAGCATTTTGTCTATGCTTTGTGGCGCTAGGAGTCGAACATCTTGTGTATATGAACTTGAGCGCCTTTCAGACAACAACGTCTAAATTACTTCAACATAGATCTCAGATAGCAACTAACTCTAAAATCAGAAGCACCTGAGACGAAACATCAAGTAATTCACAGAGCTTCATAAGAGCTTCCAGTGACCGTGAGGTCCAAACACGTTTCTGTCGTGACTCGACAAATCTCGTGCCCACAGTCTTCAATCACGACAAGTAGGGAGACAGGCCATCGCTATTAGGTTGGAGGCCATCGCAACAAGAGAAGCGCCCCGTTCGTAAGGCCAGGAGCGCCCCGTTCGTAGCGAACCTTGTTACTAGTAAGGCACTTGTTACTAGAAGCGATGCACTTGTTCCTAGTAACTCATAAGGAGACAAGGCAGGGGAAGACAAGGCGCCGATCGGCAGAGAAGTGGGGAGACAATTGAGGCGAGTGGGGAGAGAAGTCAGCAGCGGCAGCGGTGGAGCAAAACTCCGATCAGCCCCGCAGTCATTGAGAATAGCTTTCAGCTATTTGGGGCAGAAAGAAACCGTAGTAAAACGCAGAACAAAATTGAGAAGACCTTTTAAGTTTTCTGTTTGTCCTTTGTTCTTTGGACGTTCTTTTTTTTTGTTTTGTTCTTTGTTGTTTCTTTGCGTGGTGCTAGTCATGAACGCCTGCACCACCCTCCAAACTCGCCTGAACGTTTTTATACTTAAAAGGAGGTGATTGGGGCTTGACGCGCGCGCACGACTTGCTCTTGACTTTGGTTGCAGGACTTTGTTTCTGCCAAAGCTGCTTCTTTGCGGCTGGCGGGAATTTTGAATGGCATTGATGACTGCGTTGGCCTCAGCAAACATGAACGGAGCCAGGTGAGTTGGGCTGCTTGTAAAAAACAATGTTACAAAGATGTTGAAAGCAGGTGTGCGTGGGAGAATGGATCCTATCCCCAAACCCTACCAAAACACTAGAAATAACCATGCAACATTAAAAAACACTGCTCTGAGACCAAGCGCGACACGTGAAATTTTGGATCGCTCTCTGCCTGATATCAATGTGTAGTGCCAATGGCAATGCTGCAATCACGTGCTCATATGAATTCATGTGTTCTCACTTTTTGTCAAAGCGGTTTGGTTAGCGGCTTTAGTCGTTCATCACCACAGATTCATGCTCAGTGGTTGATGTCAAATATGCAGACTTGAACCCCAACACTTTCGACTCTTATATAACTTAGCAATTTCGTCCTGATCTAAACAAGCTTTGCTATTGCTCCATTAGTTTGTTTCTTATGATTGACTCCTTCTATTCTTCGGCAAATATCATTGATTTCCTACCTGCTCGGGAAGCTCTTCCTAGTCTTAATAGGCGTATGACGAAACAGTTTTAGTAGAACGTTGCTAATTGAAAAGTTCTATGTATCGGCAAAAGGCAGTCCCAATAACACGGACTGAATTGCTGCATTAGTTTGGGTATTTGGTCCAGACGAACGACAATAGAAGCAAGAACCGGCCTGCATAGAAGTTCAATCCTCTTGCACCAGGTCCAGCTGAAAACATGCTCAATTGTCGTCGTTAATGTTCCTAGTAGCGTCCTTGTTACTAGTAGCGATGCCCTTTGTTCCTAGTAGCTTCTTGCTTGTCCTTTAGCAGTTTAAAATCCATTGTTTTCTTGTTTTGGACCTGTTCTTAAGACGACAATTTCTCAGAGTAAAACAGGCTAAACAAGACAAATCAACTTGACCAACAGAAGCTTTGTGAAGATGGTACCAGTTTTATTTTGGTGCTTAGTTTACACGCATTCGAGACTAAATAAAAAGTTAAGCAAGAAATGTACCACCTGCTGAAGCAATAGAAACACCTGTTGAGAGTGGGAAGAGCTAGAGGAAGAGTCAAATCATGCAAAAAGAAGCAGCAACAGCAACAACAAGGATGCCAAAGAAATCAAAAACAACGTTTCCGACAAGACCACCACAGAGTTGGGCCAATATATTCTCCCACGTTCCAAATTTATGGGGTTGGTGGCTTCATAAAAGCCTAACACCTTGACATGTTTTAAACTAGGAGCAAGGACGTTACTAGTAGCTCCTGGCCTTACTACTAGTATATAGCAAACAGCTACTAGTACAAAGGGCACCGCTACTAGGAGCAAGGACGCTACTAGTAGCTCCTGACAAACTTATATAGTTATTGCACAACAAATCATCTCCCAACAGCACCTGTTCTGAAGATGTTCTGGGACGTTCTAGACCTGAGCAACAGAGGTTCAGGTTTTCATCTATCCCTTCGCGGGTGGGGTGCGTTCCTGAACTCTGTTCACTTACGTCTAAAACGAAGGATACAAATAAAAGGAAGAAAGCAAGGTAGGAACAAAGGGCATCGCTACTAGGAGCAAGGACGCTGCTAGGGGCCCTCCTGGCCCTGCTACTAGTAACATGGACGCTACTAGGAACATGTTTCCCGTAAATCCCTCGTATCCCCCATATCCCGCATCCTTTCCCTTTGTTAAATGTCTGGTGTGTCCCTTGCTATTCAGGTCTTGCATTTGGCAACTCCAAAAATTGTTGATACTTGTGGAATGATCGCTGTTAGATAGTCCTTGTGAGTTTGTCAGTGGGATCCATTTTCTCAGACTGTTCTAGCGGCAAAAGTTGTCGTTTGCATTCTCGTGCTCAAGATCGTGTTCCCCACGGCAGCCATACAACCAAGGAACTAAGTCTATTCATGCAAGCTTGTGAAAACAACACAAAGAAAACCAACAGAGAATGTATTCTTTCCATTTTTCAAACATGTTTTTTTTTTTGCCTGGGAGCATACAGCTAATCTGTAAAAGTTCTCTTGAGTGCAGAAGTAGTACAGGAACAAACACTGAAAAAACAACATGTATGTTTTTAAAGTTTCGCTTGCTTTTTTCAAGCTAATCTATTAGAGGTTCGGTCATGTATAGCCGACATTGTGGTTATAGCTGGTGGGAGCGGCAGCCGCTCTGATTGTGCTGCTCTGTGTGCTCCAAGCTGGCTACGCCGTTCGTGATGCGTTTGATGCCTGGCGTTGCAACCTAATAGCTTCTTGCTCCTAGTAGTAAGGCCAGGAGCCCCTAGTAGCAAATTATAATAGACCTTTCTTCCTCTTGTTTGTTTCTAATAGCGATGGCCCCCACCCTAGTAGCGATGGCTTTGCTAAGAAGTTTTTTTTCGACAAAATCATCGCCGAAAAAGCACCGCAAGATCAAGAAAATGAGATACCTGCATCAAATCTTCAGCACAAAGCATGCGGCAAACGCACAAAAGACAAGCCAGGAACTTTCTAAAGATTCACAAAAAGGAAAGGTCTCAAAAGTCTTTGGACACGAAACAACGAAGCAAACCAAGCATCTAACATCCAGTATGAAGAATTTTAATAGTAGCAAAGGGCATCGCTACAATTAAGGATGTGACAGACCGCGCCTCTTTCCTCCAGCAACCGCTTTGAATGGAGCATTAAGTTGACATGGCTGCAGCTCAACTTAAATCGCTCGAGTCTATGTCAAAGCGTCTGAGTTATCTGAAGCTGTCTAAGCGGCAGCCCTAATTTCCGCACAGTGTTCCCGAAGGGTTTCTTGACTATATAATTTTTGGAATGATCTTGAGTGAAGAACATTTGCAGAACGTTTTTTTGTTGCCCTTTCAAGTCAGCAGACCACGTTCTCTGCCCGTGGCGCTTCCCAAATTTGTGCGTTGCGAAGTTCTGGCGCTGCGGACATAGAATGCAGCCTCGAATTCTCATGCAACGCGTAGAGCTGCGTTCCACCTCAATGCATCACAGATGAATTACTTTTTAAAGCTATATAGCTTTAAACAAACATGTTAAAAACAAAAAAACAAGGTGAAGGCCATCGCTACTAGGGTGCGGCCATCGCTATTAGGCTGAAAGTTATGAAGCACAGACGAGCTAAGTGTTGTAATTAGCCGAGTCGGGGGAAGTCTGCCTTGCGTTGTAAAACAGTGACAAAGTTCATATCCAATTTTTTACACAAATCTCCCGGGTGAACTGTTTGTCGATGAAACGTGTGCGTTCAGGTTGGGACCCTTTGGTTGCCCGAGCCTTGATGAAATCACTGTTGAAACCGTTTGTTGAGACCAAGCCCTGAACATCCCAGGATCCGGATATCGTTTCGGCCTTAGCCTGCCTAGGGGCTCCTGGCATCGCTACTAGGAACAAGAAGCGATTAGAAACAAGAAACAAGCATTAAAAACACATCAATTTGAATCTAATTTTATTTTATTTAGAATTGGAACAAGAAGCTAATTGAATTAGAATTGAATCGTTTCGGCCTTAGCCTGACATGCTACTAGGAACAATGTTCGCTACTAGGGGCTCCTCTACCCCCCTGCTAGGCTCGCCTTAGAGAACTGACTGAGCTACTGGGAACGGGAGCGCGCTTAGCAAACATAAGTCATAAGCAGTTTTTTACAAAAATAAGTAATTGTTTGTGCTTTGTTCTAAAGATCTTGCAAAACAGAAACATCCTACTTGTTCACTGCCGGCAGTTTTTGAACTTCTCCGTCGAAGACTTTGAGAAGGGCAAGCTGAAGAACAAAGCGCGCCAGATGCATGTAAGTTTCATGTGAGTCATCTTTAGCGTTTTGCCTACTAGTAGCTTCTTGTTACTAGTAGCGATGGCCTCCAACCTACTTGCGATCCAATGAGCATCCTTGCTACTAGTGAGTCGCGCGACTTTCAATGTTTCCGAAGTTTGGGATCTCGGAAAGGGGCAAGGCGGGGCGCGTTGCTAAGGCAGCTCTGCAAAAGAAGCTTGGGCTGGAAGAAAACTCAGAGGTGCAGTGCTTATGGGCAAAAAGGAGACATCGATATGCTCTTTATGGAACAACAAGCTACTAGGAGCTCCTGGCCTTACTACTAGGAGCAAGGAAGCTACTAGGGGCTCCTGGCATCGCTACGAACGGCAAGAAGGCTAGTAACTTGGAGGCCATCGCTTTTAGGGAGGCCATTCCTGAACTTCTCCTTTCAACTTCCCTTCATCAGTTGTGGTTTGCTGAGTTGTGCCTCATTGGCTTCGTGGGCCGTTTGACTTGGCGCCTTGGATCAATTCGTTCTCAACATAAAATGCACTATGATTCCTCAATTTCTTTCTTTGGTGAGGGTAGGCCATGGTAGGACAGAATCGTAGCTAGCTAGAGAAAAACTAAGCTGTCACTAAGGGGAGCTAAGTAGCAAGGAGACAGAAAGCACGGAATTTTTCTTTATCTCCCAGTAGCTTTCCGAAGTAAAAAGAAAGAATGGATTTCTTGTCACTGGTTTTATTCAATTTGTTTTTTGCTAGAGAGCCAAGATGAGCTAAGAGCAAAATCTAAGAAGCCCTGGTTCTTTGCTTCGAGACAAATCCTCGACCTTGCTGACCTTGCTTTGATTCCGAACGGTTCTGAGGTTGGAGAAAGTCTTTAGTGTTTTCCGAAAACTCCTGCTCCTGCGAAGGGTTCTCCTCAAAGCAGCCACCAACTTCATCTTCCACATCAGCATGTTCATCAGAATCATAATCACCATAAGCATCATCGCGTGTCATCACCATTACAATTATTTTTTTCTTTCATGACGCCCTCTGCTGCTAGAGGTGGCGTTGACCCCCTTCATCTAGAGCAGGACTTCGTACCACGTGTGGTCATGAAGAGGAGTTCTGGAGCTGCGGTGCTCGCAGTTGAATGCCTAGCCTGGTCTATCTGCAGCTCACGCAAGTTCTTATGGACATGTGTGTTCATCCGTGCTTACAACCTCACTGTAGTAGAGCTGGCAGGTGCAAACTCGTCCTGGCAAAGCCCTCTGGGCAAATTGCGCATCAGATCCTCACTCCGCTTGCCATAGCTTGCTGTGGTGGTGCTGCAGGTGCTGTAAAGGGTTCGGAGGCCGCATGTCACACGCAGCGGCGCACCAGGTGCTGGCAGAGGTCAGATAAAATCTTGTGACCTGTTTGATCAACGCGAATCAAGCCAGCTTCCATAGGACTCCACTTGCCATGGTGTGATCAGACCTTGCACCACATGCAGTCGTGTCTCCATCTTTCTCATCGTGCAAGTAGAAGTGAACAGGACACCCGTGAGCACAACAGTCAACGGCGCGGACCTGTCCTTCAGCTTCGACTCTTGCCTCCCAGAGGCTGCTCTGACGACAGGGGTCAACAAGAGAGGGAGAGAGAGAGAGAGAAAACGCAAGCAGTTCACAAGGTACTGTTGTTCAAATGGTCGACCCCAACCCATTGGGACAAAGCAGAGCCTTGTCTGGGAAGCAGCTTATGGCAGCTGTGGCCTCAGAACTGGGCCACTTTGTAGTACAAAAAATGTGGTGCGGGAAGGGAGCAGGATGATTGGCGGTGCCCACGAGGCTTGGTGCTACATGGTTGTATCTAGTCTGTGACACACCGTATGGCGGCACCGCGCTACGCCATGCGGCTTTGCGCGGCCTCGGTGGAAAGCGCGTTTGCGTGAGTCCGCGCCATTGGGGGAAGGAAAGCATGCTGGCGTAAACGCGGCGTGTTGCTGGGGAGCGGGATGGTTGGCGGCATAGCGGTGCCCACGATGCTTGGTGTTACACTCCACGATGTTGGGCTGGCAGACTTCATGTGCGTTCATTTGCGCAAAAAACGCGTCGACCGTCAAGTGGAGTCCACACACCGAACGTGTCAGACATTCGGGTTCGTGGCTGCTATCTTGTCTTTATTATATTTCTTCCGTTTCTGTTTAAAGCGCCCGCTGCATCTACACCGACTTTTCTCCTACTAGGCTTGCAGGCCACGCCGTTTATTTTTTACAACAAGGAAAAATCTAGAGAAAAAGGACGCACTCTTTCTTTAGCAAGACTTTGTCGACGTTGGTCGTGTTGAACAGACACATTTGTGCACTGATGAGGCAGAAGGGAATCGACGTTCTGGCTTCTGTCATCTCGTGGCTAATGCAGGATGACCATGTCGATGATTTCATGAAATGTACAGCTCTCGTGCAAGTGGAAGGACACAGGCAACGGTGTAACTGGTCACGTGCAGCTCATTATGATGGGTGTTGGCCTTACAAACCTTTTGGTGGCTGAATGTTTTGACTACATGTTCATATGGTTCTTCGACGCAGCAAGGCAATGGAGAAAGACAATACTCCGTCAACCCCTTAGTTGCAATGCACTTTGGACATTTCAGTTGCGCAGCAGTGCAAGAGATGTTTGTTAGACGGGTTAAGACGATACAATTTTGGTACCTTCAGGACACCCTGCGGTGGGCAGAAACCAACTACAAGGGCCGTGTTTGTGGCTATGTAGGCATGGTGATTTCAGCTTTGAGACAGCTTACAAACACTTGTTCTCAGTATGTTTTAGCCTGTGAGATGTTATTGAGCCGTGACAACCTCTTTTTGGAGTGACTTTTACCCGACAAGAGTGAAGGGAGTTCTCTGTCCTGTCACCGGGTGCACTTCATTTGTGCTTAAAGCGAAAAAGCTCCTAGTAGTAGTGTTCTTGCTCCTAGTAGCGATGCCCTTTGCTCCTAGTAGCTTCTTGTTCCTGCGCTCATACTTTTCTGCTTTGTGAGCTGTTGGCAGCAAATTCCGTTGTAGTGATGCCAGCCAGCCGAGTGAAATCGATGGAGAGTAAAGCAGGCGTTGCTCCCTTTTGTTTAGTGGCAGATAAAGCATGCAGAGCAGCGCAAGGCTCGCTTGTTGGCCTTCACTGCATTCTGGAAGTGCTCGGGCCAGGGCTGCAGTGGGCTGCAGTCCATGTGCCCCTCACACTGTTGCCAGACCCTGGCCCATGGACCGTGTCCAACTGCTCAATGACATGAAGAGGTCCGCAACGTGGAGTCAAAAGTTAGAAGGCCGCTCTGCCCCCCTACCTACAAGCAATGGCCTCCAACCTAGAAGGGTGGCCAAAAAAATGATGAAGGCGCCTCGCTTTCGAACAGTGGCAGCTCTGCCATGCAGCACAGCTCTTTGCTATGCTGCAAAGCTCTGTTGTGTGGTCATGCTATGTCACGAGCCCTTCGTGATCATGTCATGATCATTCTGCTGTGAACACTCTGTGTCATGCCTGGCAACTCTTTGCAGACTCCGCTGTGCGTGTTTCCTTCCATTTGCTTGGATATATGAATTTGTTTCAGAAAGCGTGCGATCGATTGGTTGTCGGTTGAGAGAGCATTGAATACATGGCGCATATCGAAGTGAGAGCAACATAGTGGGTACTTGCCATGTTGGTGAGGCTTTGATCCCAAGGTTGAGTCAGCCTCTCAGGCATACAGTCAGTGTTGAAAAGGCGGAAATCGTATTCGATCTTGTTTGAGTCGGACATTTGAGGCACCAGATGATGGCAGCTTGCGACCTACTGCTGATGCCATCACGGTATGAACCATGCGGCCTTCCACAAATGTATTCCCAGATGTAGCTTGGCAGAGCGTTTGTCGCGCACTCATGTCTTTGAGTCATGCTTTTGAATTCTGAAAAAAGAGAGCAATGAGCAAGGCTAAACAAAAGAAGGGAAAGCAATGAACGATGGTCTCCAACGCTACTAGGAACAAAGGGATGCTACTAGGAGCTCCTGGCCTTACTACTAGGAGCAAGGACGCTACTAGGAACAAAGGGCATCGCTACTAGCAACACCTAGTGCCTTTGAGACGCCTTTGAGACGTCTTCAGGTATGGAACACTGCCAGTGGTCCATGCGACCGGAGGCTTGGTGGATTCCGTCAAAGACGTCTCTGCTGGCATTGAGACTGCCACTGGTTTTCTCGTGCGGCACCAAATGCGATGCCTTGCGACGTCTGGGGGGCGAACGCAGAGACTAACAAGTGCCTCGCTAGTAGTAACAAGAAGCTATTAGAAACAAGTGCCTCGCTACTAGGAACAGGTGCCTTACTACTAGGAACAAGAAGCTATTTGAATTAATCAAAACTAAATTAAAGAAGAAGAGCAGACAGTGTGCAGAGAAGCAAGAGAGCCGAATCAGGTCAAAGCGATTTAAATTGGGGCAAGAGACACGAAAGCGAGCTTTGAATGAACTGACGTTGCTTTTGCATGCTTTTGCTAGAAGGGAGACTCATAAATGACAATACAAACAGTAATTCACAATACAAACAGTAATTCACAAGTTCATAACGGAGACTTAATTTTCCCTAGACATCGAGGAACCAAATGAATAGTGTGAGCGCTTCTTCAACGAAGCTGCCCCCCGCTCATGGGGAGCTTCCTTGAAGAAGCGTGAGCTATCCTGCGTTACTTAGTAAGCTACTTGGCCAGCCCTTACTCAATCCAGTAGGCACCTACTTGATTACGTAAGAGCGGGCCAAAAACATATCCAAGAAAGAGCAACCATGTTCTTTCATATTCTTGAGGTAATTCTCTGGCAGAGCCAGCGTTAGTTTCGGCGAACTGTAAGAATGTGAGTTGTGAAGGATCAACACGTGGTTTTTGATGTGTGTTGGAGGCCATCGCTAGTGGGTTGGAGGCCGTCGCTATTAGGTTGGAGACCGTCGCTATTAGGTTGGAGGCTATCTTGATTTGGTTGGAGGCCATTTTTATTAGGGTTTCTGGATCTTTCCTTCCTTCTTTTCGACTTATCACTTCGGAGTTTACTGTCTGAGGTTAGTCCCTTGAGCTCGGATAAGTTGAAGGACCGAACAATGACGATCCCACAGCGACGCTATCGTTTTCACAAAAAGACGACTATTAGACTATGGAATCCACAGGCAGCAAAACTGAAAAGTTTCTTGCTTTTTCTATTCGCGATTTTAGAATCTTTTTGGGGATTCTTGGCATCCATAAAGTCTTTTCGCACATGACCTTGGACACGCAGGAAACGCTGTACCGCGCAGTGGAATTGTTCTTAAAGCGGAAGGAAGATTTCCTCCACATGCAGCGAACGGCTATGCTCAGTCCTGAGACTTCTGTATTCAGTTGGAATTGACCGGGATCATCAAACCTGGAAATCAATAGGAGAAGCATTTCGCTTGCTTTTGGTGCATTGGCTTCCAGGCAACATGACTACTATTGGCCAAAGGCGATGGATGAATATGAGCGGCCCTCAAGTCTTGCTCATTGTGTGGGTCGAAATACAATTTGAAGCTCAGGAAAGACAAATTGACATAGTGCTCTATGAGTGCGCAACTGTTCGATGAAAGCAATCTGGAGTTAGACAATATTGGTGTTACCATTTTATGTTTGGACATGAGCCGCGTGAAAACATGAGTATCCATAAAAGGAAGAACACCAGACGGAACAAACAAAGCGGAAAAGAAATCAAGAATGAAAGAAAGACATCATTTTCTATTTGTTTTATTTGTGTATGATATCTGTTTTTATTGGTTCATAGCTTCTGCGCTTTAGCATAGCTGACTTTTGAATCGATGCCTCCGGGCCAGATTTGTACAGTACAGAATGCATGTAGGGCTGAGTATCTCAGCGGTTGCACCATGTGAGTGCATGTGACTGCAAAGCACTCACCGGCTTCACCATGCTTCACCGAAGTCTTTTTTTCTATTGCTTTTCTGTTTTCCAAAGAGGTGCAAAAGTGCGAGGGGCGCATGTGGGAACATGTGGGAACATGTCTCAATCAAATTGCATGTGTGTACCTGTGTGGTTGGAGGCCATCGCTAGGTGGGAGGCCTTCTTGTTACTAGTAGCGATGCCAGGAGCCCCTAGTAGCGTCCTTGCTCCTAGTAGTACGGCCAGGAGCCCCTAGTAGCTTCTTGCTCCTAGTAGCGATGCCCTTTGCTCCTAGTAGCTTCTTGTTACTACTAGCGATTATTCGGGGAGGGAGCAGGCTAATAAAAGAAAGACAAACTTCCGATGCACGGCTCACAGCGAAGTTTGGTCGTGGGGAGGATGATGGCAGGTATGGCCAGAAACTCAGTTCCAGCTTGCCAAAGAAAAAGGAATAGCTTCTAGGTACTAGTAGCGTTCTTGCTCCTAGTAGTAAGGCCAGGAGACCCTCGTAGAGTCCTAGTAGCGATGCCCTTTGCTCCTAGTAGCTTCTTGCTCCTAGGAAGAAAGGTCCAAAGAAATGAACAGAAACAACAATAAAGACATGGCGAACTGCCTTGCTGTTCAAAGCGCGTTGGCATTGGACTTCACTACCCTGGAAAGCGAACAGAAAGAAGCTTCGTTCTGCCACTTTTGATGGGAAGTCCGGGTTTGAAAAGACCATGTTTTCTGAGAATAGGAGTTAGGAGCCCCTAGTAGCTTCTTGTTATTACTAGTAGCGATGCCAGGAGCCCCTAGTAGCGTCCGATCGCTCCTAGTAGTACGACCAGGAGCCCCTAGTAGCGACTAGTAAGGCACTTGTTACTACTAGTAAGGCACTTGTTTCTACTAGTTTCTTGTTACTACTAGTAAGGCACTTGTTACTAGAAGCGTGGCACTTGTTACTACTAGCGTGGCACTTGCTCCTAGTAGGGTGTTGGGTGACCGAAGCTTGCACAGCATTTGGGGTCCTTGTTGCCCTTTCCTGCCAAGTATTGTATCCGACTGTGGCATTGCTCGCAGTGTGGGTGTGCTGTCCCATTACATAATGTCGCCTGAACGCCGCATTTGAGGAAGCCACATGACAGCCGGCAGCTAGCATTATGGACCTGTTTCTCGTGCATAGATGTGGTGTGTAGTTTCCGCTGAACAAGCTTGTAACAAGAAGCTACTAGGAACAAAGGGCATCGCTACTAGGAGCAAGGACGCTACTAGGGGCTCCTGGCATCACTACTAGTAGCATTCTTGCTACTAGGAGCAAGAAGCTAATAGGAGCAAGAAGCTTGTCTCTGTGTTGTGGGTTTTGAACGAGATGCTCTTGCTGTAGCTACTAGGAGCAAGGGCATTGCTACTAGGAGCAAGGATGCTACTAGGGGCAGACCGCTAAGACCGCTTTCTCTTTCTCCGGTTGTTTGTAACATGTCTTGTCCTTGTGCCCGTGAGTAATTTGCTGTGCTGTGTTCTTGTAGTTCCCAGTCCGGAGCTCTCAAATTCCACATGAATAGCGTGAGCATTCCTGCGTCCAGTTACTAATAGCGGCCTACTTAATGGCTCGGTATACGGCCCACCCCACCCTCAGGCCAAAAAACAAGGAAAGCATCTAGTAAAAGCAATTGATATTGGGGTGCATGTTGGTGTTTGACTTGACCTCCTTCGGTTGTCTAACTGTAGTCTCCCCGATTCTAGTTCTCTTGCAAGGATAAACTAGAAGCGGGGTGTAAACGTAGCTATTCCTTTTAATTGTCAGACCTTTTGTTGTGGCGAAGAATCCAGTAGTCGACACCTCCAACCTAGGAGCGATGGCCTCCAACCTAGTAGGGATGGCCTCCACATTCATATATATATATACTGTATACAGTAATTAAAGTATATATATATGTATGATATGTTATATAGCACCCAACACCACTTGAATTCTCCGTTCATGGTAGCTGAGCTAGGCTTCAAAAGACCCATTGCACGGGCCGGTCTGAGTCTGTAGCCGGTGTTGCACTCGTAGTGCTTGCTGCCGAAACTCCACCACCTCAAAGCGCTTACTTGCTGGGCCAGAGTTTGTCGTTGGGACAGACTTCAATGTAGTGCTGGCACCTTTTCTCTCTGTAAGGTCCTAGGCTTAAGGCCTTGAATATACGAAATAAACGAGCAGTGTGAGACACTCGCAGGAACATACATTTATATAGTATTTTCGCGCTTCACTTTGATTGCGGTGAGCAGGTTTGCTATTGTTTAGAGCTACAAGACTTCTGGTTGTTGGTTGGATGTTCATTGCGTGTTTGAGACGCCTTGGACACTAAACCAGGCCTTGCTTCTGGAGGTAGAGGTACATCCCTTTGCCTTCGTCCATTTTCCTTCTTCGGGTCACAGAGCTTCTTCATCGGATCTCGCAGGTAAGTTGGATATGCCTAGTAACAAGTGCATCGCTACTAGTTGCAAGAAACTGGTAGGTTGGAGGCCATCGTTACTAGGAACAAGAAGCTACTAGTAACAAGTGCAACGCTGTTAGTAGCACTTACAAATTATCTCAAGAATTCAACTGATTCACTTGTCCGAATACATTTTCAATGCACGCCCAAAGATGGGTCAAATACACCAAAGTGCCAATCTCGGAGTGGAGGCAACTCCCGGTACCTCTCGTTTGTCCTCCAGTTTGCCTGCTATACTCGATGTTGGACTGGAACTTTAGGCTCATCTTTAGAATTCCTATTTTAATTCCAATTTCATTCTAATTGCAATGGCCTCCAACCTATTAGCGATGGTCTCCAACCTAGCAATTTCGTAGGCTCACAAAATCTCATATCGCCCCCGTTGCATACGCGAAAGACGCGATGGATGTTCAGTGGGCTTATTTGTCGCGCTGTCAGCCTTGCCTTCCTAAGCAGCGAATGTTTGAGGGGTTATGGAGTGCTGTGTGAATCAGCGAAAGAGAGTATGACAAGTTGGGTTCTCAAAATTTGCAAACCCGCCTCTTGACTTGCAAGACAGACATGTCATGTAAGCAAACTTGCGTGTCCATTCTGGTGGCCAGTCAACTGAACCAAATCTCCTTGAGATAAACCTCTACACTCCAGAGAGCATTTAAGATCGTGACCTCAAAGCTCTCATCGCGATTAAGACTCGCATGGTTTTGTTTAGCTTAAGTGCGGTCCCGTCATGCTTTGTGGCATTTTGGCGTTCTGGCCATCCTTCCGAATTGTAAGACAAGACACTTTGCAAAGTGAATCTTACACTTTGGTGATGCTAGTCGGTTGGAGGCCATGGCTATTCGGAGCAAGGACGCTACTAGGGGCTCCTGGCCTTACTACTAGGAGCAAGAAGCTACTATTTTCGCTTCGAGATTTTCGCAAGATTGGCTCGCGTTGTGATTGCTCAAGGCCTCCAGGAGAGCCAGGCAGATAGTGGACACGGCCTCAGTGAGATTTCAGCCGCGCAGAGTTTGCCGATTGACTTGTGACGCACAGAAAGCAAAGGGATCATCAGATGATCCCGAAGAAGGTTTCCGGTGCAGGAGAATTTCTTAAGAAATCTTCTTTCAAACTTTTTTCTCTTTGATCCACATGTTCAAGCTCCTAAGTAGATTGGAGGCCATCGCTATTAGGCTGGATGCCATTGCTAGTGTAGGTTGGAGGCCATCGCGATTAGGGTGGACGTCATTGCTATTAGGGTGGAGGCCATGGCTAGGCTAGTTTGGAAGCCATCGCTATGGAGGCTATCGCTAGTAGGCTCCTTTGAAGCTTTATCAACCTCCTTTCCCTTTCTCTTTCCCTTCCTGTTCTTGCAGCCTTGTCAGGTCATTTCGGTCGCTCTCTTGGCCTGGCTCCGGTTCGTGTGATTCCAAGCCAGTTTTGCCTGAAAAAGAATGCAGTCTATGCCACAAAAACACTCAACATAAGTGTATATGTATATATATATATTGCGTATCTATCTATATATATGTGTCGGTGCGGTCGCCCCACCAGGGGCATCGCAGCGGCGCCTTTCTACGCTCCAGCCTAAAGGTTCCGCTAGACATGGCGTCCGACCATGTGCTCATCACAATTCACACTCCTCAAAATCTATATATGATCCAAGTTTTCAATGGCCTTCATGGCCAAAGCGACGGGCTTCCTTCGAGCCTGGATACGTCACTCCGAACTTGGAAATTCCGGGGCTATACTGGACTGCCTTCAAATATGCACGGATGTCATCCATCTTCGAGGATTTGACTCCGCTGTTGGTGACCCATGTCAAGTAATCCCTCATTTCTTTACACGAGTCAGCTTCTGTGACCATCATATCGTATGTCATGTCACGCTTGGCTACCTTTGGTAGCTCACAAATGGTGGAGCCCCACTGCTTCAGTGACTGAAGACCTTCAGGCAGGCGGATCTCTGTTCCAGCATGAGAAGAGTAGCCGACCTGACGTGGAAGCACCGGTGCTTGACTCATCTTCTTTGGGGTCGGAGTCACACTTTGAGTCAAAGCAATCACCTCAAACTGATCCAGCTCTTCCTTCGCAGACACCACAGAACTCGTCAATCCGCGTTTTGAGCTGTCATTCATCGATCCTTGCGCTGTGTCGGTCGAAGTGGAAGCGGATGCTTCGTGCAGCAGCTGCTCCAATTCACCGCTCTCGTTCAAGGCTCGAACTAGCTGCTTGAGCTCTTCTTTAGAGAAATTTTGGTACATGGCTGACACGTCACTTAGAGTTGAGGAGACAATCGGAGAGTCTGATCACACCGAGAAAACTGTGCCCTCTTCGCACTTGATTGCTCAGATTCAATTATATGCATTGAAACACATTTCGTTATCACATCGAGTAACGCAAAAGCATCTGCAAAAGAAAGTATCTATATATATTGTGTTACGAAATGCTCACATTTCCACAATGCGTTTCCCTCACATTCGTACCCCAGAATGTGCGCTGGGTGCTCACCAGCCCTCACCCAAAACCAGAGAAACAATCCAAGCGGCCTGGACATGTAGAGTAGGACGAAACGTGACTATCGACAAAAGCAACCGAACAAACAAAAAGGAAGTCCTGCATCACACAAAACAAATCTGGCAAACAGAAACTCAACCGGCGTCCAAATGCACTCAGTCTGCTATTCTCTAGAAAAACCCCATCCTACTGAATTAGGAACCCTTCTGTTTCGGCTTGCTTCTCCTTCGTGCTGCTTCTCGTGCTTCATGCAACGCCCGTCTTTCTACTCGTGCTTGACGTTGGTTCTTTTTTAGCTCCAGGATCATGGCTTCAGGATTCAACTGGTATTCCCCCACGGACAGTGCCGCCCGCAAGAGATCTGCCGGATCCTGCTGGTCCTTTGTTAGAGCGTCTGCGAGCATGAGTTGTGTTGGGCACCACCTAACCACGAGACCTGTTCGAGACATGCACTGTTTGAGTATTGCAAGGTCTATTGCTATCCTTTTATCTTCGCACTTACTAACTGATGACATGGATATCATATGGTCATATAAACTCTTGCAATCTGTGACACCCACGACAGGAACTAGGTCCAGCTCATCACGGCATTTCAAATTTGACACTCGTGGCTGTGTTTGCACTTGCTCTGTTGTCCGAAGATCAAATCTGCCATGCTTTGCTTCTGCTATGAGCAAGCTCATCCACTCAGCCGTAGCGCTAGCTGTCGTGAAAGCCTGTGCCTCCCCTGCTAGTGTCGAGGCCACCACCCTCGGCAATTTGTATGACCGCCAAGCAAACGGAGACCAGCTTGCTGCCTCATTCTGTACTAGTCTTTTGCTCACAAAAGCTGCAATGAACCCTGCCTGTGTCTTGTGTTGCTTTGCATTACCAAAACCTGCATCTGAATGAAAACAGATAGCCAAATCTTCCCATGGAATGCTCTTCACTGTAACATCAGTGTGACTAAACTGTTTAGCCCGATGCACCAGTTGGTTTGCAAACAACAAATCCCGAACTCTAGGTTGAGGAAAGCTCTGTTGTGAAAAGGAGGTCTGAACGCACAGATCTGGTCTTGACTGCGAACTAAGCCAATTGCATGCTCCGTTGATTGCCCTCAAGGCTGAGATCTCCCGGTCAGTTGCCAGAGACTCTTTGTCCTTCAACCGTTCTTTAGAGAGAGAAATGGCCCGAAGATGTTCTGCATATTCTTTTTGATGGTACGTGATCTCAAAACTTCGCATGTCTTGGCTATATTGCACCCCACAAAATTCACCATTGCCAATCCTCCATTTTCTGTACGGGAAATGAGTCTTCAACGCTTGAATTGCTGAATCGTAGGTTGCCCCGTGTCCCCCCGTGATGGTGTCGTCTACATGGGCTCCCATCACACCACACATGGCTCCCTGACTCAACGGATCCGGAAGGTAGTATAAACAGTTGTCAAACTGAGAACGAACCCAACCAATTTTTCTTGCAGTCTCGTCGAACTTAAACCACCAGTTGAAAGGGGCATCGTTGGACCCGTAGACGTTGCCTGTGACCTCGATCACATCATCCGGACTGAGTCCTGGGATCCCTCCTGGAGGTTGATGCGCATACAAAGGACTAAATTTGGGGTTCAAAGGTCCTGCTTCCAGAAAAGCCCCCTTGATGTCCCCTAGCTGCATCGTCCATTGCTTGCTGACTAGAATTTGTAAAAACAATGATCTTGACAAAGGGTGAAGTGTGGGACTGTGGCAAGCGGGAGACGCATCAAAAAAGAAATATAAATGCATCAATAAAAAAATATAAATGCATCAAGAAAAAAATAAAAATGCATCAATAAAAAAATAAAGAAAAGAAACAAAGAAAGGCAAGAAGGCAAGGAAGGAAGGAAGGAAGGAAGGAAGGAAGGAAGGACGGAAGGAAGGAAGGAAGGAAGGTACGAAGCCAGGACGGAAGGAAGGAAGGAAGCAAGGAAGCAAGGAAGCAAGGAAGGATGGATGGAAGGAAGAAAGGCAGCAAGGCAGGAAGGAAGGTTCGCTTTCGGTGGCTCTTGGGTTTTGGTGGCTTTTGCCTTTGGTTTTCGATGGCTTTTGTAGGTGGCCCGCTTGCGGAGCTGTGCTGCCTGCAATGGCAAGTGTTGTCATGTATTCTATGTTAATGCATTGTTTGATGCATCTATGTATTCTATGTTAATGCATTTTTTGATGCATCTCCCAAAAAACACACACAACAACAAGGACCACTTTTGAACTCCTGTTCTATCCCCCATTTGGCCAGCTACTCAGCGAGCCAGCTTACGGACCTGTGCTGCCTGCAGTGGCCAGGAAAGCTGCAAGTTGACTCACCCTTTGTTGCGCCACCCGAGGGTAAAATTTGGAGAAGAATGTTGCCATTTCAACTTGACTCACCCTTTTGCGCACAGGGTAAAATTATGAGAAGGAAGTGGTCACTCCAACTTGACTCATCCTTTTGTGGCCAATGCGGGGTAAAATTTAGAGAGGGAAGCGGCCATGCCGAGTTGACCCACCCTTTTGTGGGCCACGCAGGGGTAAAATTGAGAGAAGGATGTTGCCATTTCAACTTGACTCACCCTTTTGTGGGCCATGCGGGGGTAAAATTTAGAGAGGGATGTTGCCCTTCCAAGTTGACTCACCCTTTGGTGAGCCACCCGAGGGTAAAATTGTGAAAAGAAGTTGCCATTTCAACTTGACTCACCCTTTTGTGGGCAGGGTAAAGTTTAGAAAAGGAAGTGGTCATTCCAAGTTGACTCACCCTTTGGTGAGCCACTGGAGGGTAAAATTTAGAGAGGGAAGTGGCCATGCCAAGTTGACTCACCCTTTTGTGGGCCATGCAGGGGCAAAATTTAGAGAAAGATGTTGCCACTTCAACTTGACTCACCCTTTTGTGGGCCATGCAGGGGGATCAATTTAGAGAAGAATGTTGCCCTTCCAAGTTGACTCACCCTTTGGTGAGCCACCCGAGGGTAGAGTTTAGAGAAGGATGTTGCCATTTCAACTTGACTCACCCTTTTGTGGGCAACGCAGGGGTAAATTTTAGAGAAGGAAGTGCTCATTCCAAGTTGACTCACCCCTTGGTGAGCCACTGGAGGGAAAAAATAGAGAAGGAAGTGGCCATTCCAAGTTGACTACACTTTTAAGTGAGCAATGCAGGGGTGAAATTTGGAATACGCAGCAACATTCGGGAAAGGGCCTGTGTGCGCACTTGATTCCCCCCGATGGGGTGTGTGCACGCTGAGTCAACAAGTGTGTGCGCAGATGAGGCACAAGTGCTGATAAAATATGCGGCGCCGCCCTTCTGTGAGCCACCCGAATGTACAGTAGTAAAGTTTAGAGCGCAGAAAGCCATTCCATTCTAGCACGCCAGTAAAATTTTGAAGAGGTGAGGCGACCGTAAGGCCCCGGGTCCTTTGGTCCTCTGTTCCCCTGGCCTCTGGATCTGAACCTCTGCAAGATTTAGTGGGTCTCTAGACTCTACACCTCTACACTCCAGATCTGTCTGGATGTCGAGGCCTTTGGATGTCCAGCTTACGGAGCTGTGCTGCCTGCAGTGGCCAGTGTCGTCAGCGCTGTGCTGCTGGAGGTGGCCAGAGTGTTGTGAGCGCTGTGCTGCTGCAGGTGGCCAGCTTACGGACCTGTGCTGCCTGCAGTGGCCAGGAAAGCTGCAAGTTGACTCACCCTTTGTTGCACCACCCGAGGCTAAAATTTGGAGAAGGATGTTGCCATTTCAACTTGACTCACCCTTTTGTGCACAGGGTAAAATTTTGAGAAGGAAGTGGTCACTCCAACTTGACTCACCCTTTTGTGGCCAATGCAGGGGTAAAATTTAGAGAGGGAAGCGGCCATGCCGAGTTGACTCACCCTTTTGTGGGCCACGCAGGGGTAAAATTTAGAGAAGGATGTTGCCATTTCAACTTGACT